GTGCTTGACATCGAATCAACCTTGTCTCGTGTCTGCCAAGCGGTAAGATACAACGTGATTTGGGTCTTTACTTACAACGGTTGATCCTATTATTACAAACAACATCATAATTGTTCTTGGTGTTGGTTTTGATTGTTTGTCCTCAGGTGCTTAAAGATCCGAGTGTTTCAAAAGATGTTCTCCGATCTAGAGCAAGAGGGTTGAGGAAGCTCGGAAACATTTTCCAGGTGAGCCATATTTACAACAACAGTAAAAGGGTTTACTCTCTCTAACATAGCAGACTGAAACACTTTGCTCTCTTCTTACAGGGTTCTAAGAAACCTTACTCTAGAGAAAATAGCTTGCGCCACGAAGATGCCGCCGTGAAACTTGATACCGGAGATTCTTCCAAACCGGCGACTTAAAGAAGGAAAAGAAAATGATGGGTTATTGAAAATGATTTAATGGTTTGTGAAGTGATGGTTTCGTTTTAAAATTCCCCTTTCTTCATTGAATATTTACCTTCCGTGTTGGTTTCACAAAACTCCAGGTCGCGTGTTCTGTAAGGTACTGTTTACGTGGACATGTTTTTTTCGTGTTTTTTTTATAAATTGGCCCCTCGAATATAATAAAAATTAGAATTTGGAATATATGTAGTTTTGGTTTATAAATGGCCCCATCTACCGACGTCACTAGGAAAAGTTGCCGGTTAATTATTCCTTTCTCCCTCCGTTTTTTTTGTTTTGTCTTTTAACGTGACTTGGCACTACTCACCGTAAGTCACTTCGATTACGCCAACTCTCTCTCTGACGGTGTCACAACTCACAAGGCACTTAACCGATCAGATTTATCTTTTTTTTGGACATAGCCGAACCGATTTATCTTGGTCCAATCATGGGAAAAGGGTGTTGTATTACTTTTTCATTATGATAAGCGTTGTAGAATTTTAATGAAGGATTGGTGAACATTTGATGATGAAAAATGAATAGAGCTATCTCGGTTAAGGTTGATTATGTTTTGACTATTTGGTACGGTTCTTCTGGGTATTTATACAAACACGCACCGGAATATAACGGCGTGAAATAAACCGTGAGAAAAGACTCGTATTCATCTCTTTCCCTCTCTTCTCTCTTTATACGAGAGAGAAAGGAACAAAGCAAGGCCCTCGCATCGTAGTGCGCTTAACAGACCGCTCTCTCTCCCTGTTTCTTTTCTTTTCCATCTTCCTCTTCTCCGGCGTCGTTCAAGGATTCCCGGGAGCAGGTTCGCTCACCGGGACTTTCTCTCTCTCTTTCAGCATCTGTTTGATTGTTGTGTTTTGCTATCCTTTCGGGTATTTGATTTTAGGGTTATGGTTTCTAATTAGGGTAATCGGCTTGCAGATTTTGTGGCCTTTAAGATCGGATCTGCTTGATGCTCTAATTATACCACTTAGGTTCACTTTAATTACTTATCCGACTCCCCTTATTTAGTTTTGGGATTTTGAGAGTCAGTCATATATCAGTTGAGTGATTCCGAAACTCGTGAGTGCGGCAGTGGAGGATACATCGCTATGATTCCTTATTCATATTTATATATATATTTTTGTTCTTTCAACTGTTGCGTTGTATCATTTGATCGATGAGTAATAAGCTCTCAGAGATCTATCTTACCAATAGGGCTCTCTCTCTGCTTGTATGTTATATGCTTCCTGGACTTTTGATTCTGATGATTTTGATTGTTTTACTAAATCTTCTTCGTTTTCCCTTGCATTGATTGTGTTGTTGTTTTTTTCATGTTAAGGTTGTAGCAAGAAGCTATATTGTTTCTTTTTGATGTTTCATTCCCCAAATAATTAAATCACTGCCTTTTTTTCAGTGCGTAGCTAGCAGTTGCGAGTTCAGAAATGGGGAATGCGTGTTGTATTGCTGCTCGTGACAAAATGGTCCTCGTGCCTAATTCTTCTTCATCAGCTGCTGCTGCTGCTGAGAGGAGGCATTCTCCTACTTGGAGTTTCCGCTGGGATAATAACAGAGGACGTGTTGCTGGTGATGACTCCTCCTCTCTCACTTGCTTTTCTGATGGTATTTTCCGTACCGATGGCTCTGAGATCAAATTTGAATCTGCTTTTGTTTCATCTCAAGCCTCTCCTTTGGACACCCTTCCGACACTCACACTGCAGAAATCTCCCGCCTCAGGTTAATATATCATTTCAGCACCGAGGGAAACACATTTATGCTGTTGTTATTCACTCGTGACTTTAGAACCTGTTAAAATGTCATGATTGCTATGTTTATTTATTGAATTTGTCTCTTTGCTTTATTAGCTCACCTATGCATCTGTCTTGATCATACTAGTCTTTACATGAATCTTGTGGCAGATCTATCTTTCCCAAGAAATTCTTCCATGGATACAGTCTTCGAGCGGGTAAACTCTTTTACCATCACTAGCTGACTTTTCGTACATCTTTGAAATTATACCTTTGTTGATGCATAATAACCTCGATTTCGCATCGCTATCTCTTACACAGAAAGAAAATGATTCAACACAATCTATGGCACCTTCATATCCATCTCCTCCACATTTGTCTCTTTCACAGACATCTTCTCTCCCAGCATCACCACTTTCGCCCCAGAGCTACTTGCACCCTGCAAGTTCGTCGACACTGAAACTGACACACCGCCCTCTTCTATCAAAGCAAGTCACAGATAGTCAGATCTCTGGAATGAACTCACTAAGTAGAAGCTCAGCAACTGAAGAGAGGCAGGGAACTCCTTTGACATATGATTCAGCTCAGAGTGGACCATCTGACAGTTGGTCACTGCAAGCCTTTTCTGAAATGATGTCCTCTTCTCGCAGCAACGAGCCTTTGTCTTATGATAACGACTACTTTGGGCTTGATCGGGACAAGATAGACCATCATGGCAACCGAATGTCCAATCGTCATCAGCAAACCTGTGGTGCCTGCTCAAGATCCTTGTCAGAGAAATCCTTGTGGAGTAGCCAAAAGATCTTCATGACCAATGAGCTCTCTGTGTCCGCAATTCTAGCATGTGGGCATGTCTATCATGGTGAGTGTTTAGAGCAGATGACGTCGGAAATTGATAAATTCGACCCTTCATGCCCAATCTGTACATTGGGTGAGAAGAAAACGGCGAAGCTGTCAGAGAAAGCGTTGAAAGTCGAGATGGATTTCAAAGCTAAGCACAACAAAAGACTCAGAAACCGAGTTTTGGACAGTGATTTTGATTGCGAAGATTTTGTAATGTTTGATCACAGCCGCACGCCGGCAGCAGCAGCAGGCAAAAGCCCTGAACTGATCTCGAGTTCTAGCCTCAAAAGTTATTCTGTAAAGCCTTTCTTGGCTAGACATTTCTCTATTGGGTCCAGAGGTAACAGTAAAACCGGTAAAGAGAACCATGGTGTAAAAAAGAAAGGCTTCTTCTGGACCAAATCCAACAAAATATGAACTTGTAAGCTGCGTTCTCTCTCGCTCTATATCTCTCAGACTCATCAAATTGGTGAATTGCACACGCAAGGGATTGATTGTGGTTGTTTTCTCAGGTCCTGCGTTGCTCTCTACTGTCTGAAGCATAGAACTCGAAACACACGGACACGGTACCATTTAATTAAGACAGGCTATTTGTTACACACCTTCCTCATTGGCTTTTGTTTTATTGGTATTTGCTAAATTTTCACACATGTAAAGTCACAACTTAAGAATACAAGGTTGGGGATAATCACAACATTGGAACCTTACTCATTAGTCTATAAATTATTCTGGCTGTGCATAGATCAGAATGGACTCAGGGCTCTGAAGACAAGTGATTGGGTATGGTTTGTATTGTACCAGCTTCATCTCAATCAGACCTTTTTCTGTAGATATTGATTTGTTTCTCCTTGTTTTTATTGCTGCTTACTATTTGTATACTGTATAGAAAGATCAACAAGCTTTTGAGATATTATGGTGAATGACAAACAAAGAAAAGCTTATAATTTATGGTTGTGATATACATGTAAAAATTTGTTCAAACACTAATCGAGATCATATATGCATTTTTTGAGAATTTAAATACTGTAGAGTAGAAAATGATTTGTCTGGGATGAGTAGGCACGTATAAGAACACACATGTGTGCGTACGAGGCAGTTGCCTAGGCATTTTCGTTCGCTATATTGCAGGCACGTGTCCTGACCATGCACAATACATACGCAAAACGTATCCTTCGCATATGTCAGTCTATGCAAGCAACGATTGACCGAGAGTGGAGAAGGATCTTGTTAGTTAGAATGGCGGATCTGAAAGACGAAAGAGGAAACCCAATCTACCTCACGGACGAACAAGGGAAGCCAGCTCAGCTAGTGGACGAGTTTGGTAACGCGATGCACCTGACAGGAGTTGCAACAACCGTCCCTCAGCTGAAGGAGAGCAGCTACACGGGTCCACACCCGATCACAGCCCCAAACACGACCACGGATACACCTCACCACGCACAACCTATCTCCGTGTCTCACAACCCTCTAGAAGACCACGTCATTTCGTCCTCCAACCCTGTAAGATTAATATAATAATGTCAAATTCATATACTATGGCGCTTATCCTTGTGTCACGCACGCGTACTTACTACTATTGGCAATATTAGTATCAATATATCTGTTAAGCATCTGATACGTATGTTATGTATGTAGAGGGATGAGGATGGTCAAGGAACAGGAGGGGAAGCTAAGATAAGGGATGAAAGTAAATCAAGGGTAGGCGGGGAGGAGGCATCAACTGTAACTGCAACTGCAACTGCGAAGGCAAGAGGATCAGGATCAGGATCAGTAGCAGCTGAGGAGAAGAAGGGTTTGGTTAAGAAGATTAAGGAGAAACTTAGCGGCCACCATAACGATCCGTAAAACTATTTCTCTGTGTTTGATAAACTAAGTTATATGTAGTCAGTCCGTCAGTCACACTTGCTTCTCACTTTGTTTTGATCAAAGAAAGTTTGTATAAATCGTGTTTTTTTTTTGTCCGTAAAGAATATTTGTCAATAATAAACAAGAATTATTATTCAAAGATGAATTTGCGTAAAAATGCATAATAGTATGTATAATGGTCGGATATGGAACAGAACTGAGCTGAACCAACGGACGAGATTTGCATAAACCCGCACCTCTCTCTATATATATATAATAATAAACCCAATTCAATAATGAGTCATTTCCTTGTTTGTGATTGCAAAAAATGTTAGCTCAGTCCTTGGCTCTGACTCCGACACCGGCTCCGTGTTACGGTCTGCGACTCAGTGCTCTTCAAGTCTCCGAAAAGCATTCGACTACCCTTTCTGTCCTCATCTGTTTCGTCGGTCTCTCGCGGCCAGATATCTCTCTGAAAATGGCTTCCAACTCGAAACAGGCCGCCGATTCGTTGCTGTGGGAACTGCTCTGGCTGACGCTTCAGGGGAAGTTATCAGAAAGTATTTCCGGAAGAAACTCGACAAAGATGATATGAGTAAGTCTTGTTATATGATATATGCAATGGATGGAGCTCATATCGGCGGCCTAATATAGAATTATGATTCAGTGATTTAACCCACAGTTTCTTTTTTTTTTTTTTGTTATTGCAAAATTTATCAAGCATCAAAAAGGATTTCTTTTATGGTGCTTAACAAAAGCTCTAAAGACTCATCATATGTTTGGTCCTTCTTATCTATAAATACTGAACTAACCAAGTTAGGAATATTCTGATTTGTGATCATCCGTAGCCAGGTCTTGTTACAATCGCTGATCAAATGGCTGAAGAGGCCATGGTTTCCATTATCTTCCACCACTTCCCTTCTCATGCCATCTGAGTTTTTCCCTCCCATTAGATTTTAAAAAACCCACATACACACTCTGATTGCTCTCTTTCCCTTGAGCTTTAAGTAGATTAATGGATTAGAAAACTGCGATGTGCATATTCATCTTTAGTCACATCTTAAACTGTAGATATGGTGAAGAGATGGGTTGCAGATGCAAAGACGATTCTGCAGACTATGTTTGGGTTTTGGACCCAGTCGACGGAACTAAGACCTTTATCACAGCTCCACTCACTCTTTCTTCTTCTTTTTTTTCTCATTTTTATCAAGTCTTTAAACATTTGATTCTTGTCATCAATTGCTTCGTCTCAGTGAAACCTGTGTTTGGTACGTTGATAGCTCTGCTGTACAAAGGTAAACCGGTAAGACACCACCCTCTCTTGTTTTTTTGTAAGCTTCCCACAGTTTCTTGGTATGTATTCGAGTGACCAGACTGGGAATTCATATTGCCTAGGATTTAATCCTTCTTTTTTAAAGCATCTGGCAGCATTTAAGGAATCTGACTGAGACATTGCATTTGGGCTACACCAACTTTACCTTGTTTTCACTTTCAGATTCTAGGTCTAATTGATCAGCCTATTCTAAAAGAGAGATGGATAGGAATGAGTGGAAGAAGAACTAAATTAAATGGGGAGGATATCTCAACCCGATCTTGCCCCAAACTATCACAAGCATATTTGTAAGTTTGCCTTCATTGACCCCATACCATCGTGTTAGCCTTAAAACATATGTGATGACTTTATAGGCAAGTGCCATTCTCATGACTATACTCTTCTGTCTCGCTTTTTCTCATATTTTGACTCTCCAGATACACCACTTGCCCGCATCTTTTCAGTGAAGAGGCAGAAAAGGCATTTGCTCGAGTTAGAGACAAGGTACTTTGTCTATTTCTCTAAGGAATCTACTTTAAAATTGGGATTGTTTTCTACGTTGGAGCATGGGGACACATGCAAATCAAACCTATTTGGAAGCTGCAGAATAACACATCTCAAAATAATCAGTATCCCAACTGAGTTTTTTCTCCAGTTGATTGTATAGATTCGCCTGAATTCTTTTTTATTATTATGTTCTTAATTTTAATGCTGTTCACTCCCTTCTGGCTTGTCAAATTTTTTCGTTTCAGGTAAAGATGCCATTATATGGCTGTGATTGCTATGCTTACGCTCTCCTGGCTTCTGGATTTGTCGATCTTGTTATTGAATCCGGTCTAAAGGTAAAGCTACTCCTTCAGAATGACTTGTCAAAAGTGAATGCCTCATTTATCATTCTTGAACTGGTACTCTACTTCCACATCATACTAATTGAATTCAATGTTACTCCTCACCAGCCATATGATTTTCTAGCTCTGGTTCCTGTAATAGAAGGCGCTGGAGGTACTATAACCGATTGGAACGGTAACCCACTTCTGTGGGAAGCTTCATCCAGTGCAGTTGCTACAAGTATGTTCAACATTCCCAAAAAAAAAAAAAAAAAACTGGGTTTCCTTCTTTCAGTCTTGAACTCGTCAGAAATAATAGATCACTGCAACCCCTGAATGCCTAACTAAGCATTCCCATCTACTTTTTCATTTTTCACAGGCTTTAATGTAGCTGCAGCAGTAGATGCAGATATTTATCAGCAAGCATTGGAGTCACTTGAGTGGCAGTGAAAAGGTTTCACTGGTACGTTGATTATTCAACTCTAGTTTCCTCATTACTTTCTTGCTTCATATTTGCGTATTTGAATGAAAATTTTTTTGATAGTGAGGTTAGATATTCTGGTTAGAGTTTCAGTTTAAGTTTTAGTTTTTTCAATTCTTGAAATAGGGAACCAGAGTTAATTATTTTTGGAACTGTCTCTAAATTGTTTAGGATAACCGAATTAGCAGTTTGCTAAAAATAAACCATTGAATATAATGAATGATCATATCCACCACTAAACTACAGCATATTCTAAAACTGGCCACACATATAACAACTAATGATTTCTTTCTTTCATGACCTTTTTCTCCCTCTTTTCTTCAACGACAAGCTATCCAACAAACTCCTTCATTCCTTCTTATCTTTGTTCTTCCTCATCCCTCTCTCTTCTCTCTCTCCTTCCCACCTAGGAGGGATGGAGATAAGAAAGAAACCAAACATTCCCATCTTTGATATTTCTCCAAGGCCATCCATGGCTCTCCTGCTGGCTATTCTCCTCTTACTCTCAGGTCCTGCAGCGTCTGCCGTGGGACCTGCCACCGGTTTTAAACCGGCAGATGATATCCTCATTGATTGCGGAAGCAAATCTTCATCCAAAACCCCTGATGGAAAAGTCTTTAAGAGTGACCAAGATACGGTCCAATACATAGAAGCCAAGGATGATATTCAGGTCTCGGCCCCACCTTCAGACAAGGTCGCTTCTCCTATCTACCTAACTGCAAGGATCTTCCGTGAGGAAGCCACCTACAAGTTCCATCTAACCCGACCTGGTTGGCATTGGGTTCGCCTCCATTTCCTTGCCTTCCCTAATGACAAGTTTGACCTCCAACAAGCAACTTTTTCAGTTTTAACAGAGAAATATGTGTTGCTTCATAACTTCAAAATCAGTAACAACAACAATGATAGTCAAGCTGTTCTCCAGAAGGAGTATCTCGTCAACATTACGGATGCACAATTCTCCCTCAGGTTCAGACCTATGAAAGGCTCCGCAGCATTCATCAACGCTATCGAAATTGTCTCAGCTCCAGACGAACTGATCTCTGATTCCGGCACAGCCCTTTTCCCAGTCAACGGTTTCTCGGGTCTGTCTGACTATGCTTACCAGTCCGTTTACAGAGTCAATGTTGGTGGTCCTTTGATCGTGCCTCAGAATGACACATTAGGAAGAACATGGATACCAGATAAGGAATTCTTGAAAGATGAGAACATGGCCAAAGACGTTAAGACAACCCCTTCAGCAATCAAGTACCCTCCTGGAGTTACACCTCTGATTGCTCCACAGGCGGTTTATGCAACAGCTGCAGAAATGGCTGATTCTCACACCATAGTTCCTAACTTCAACGTCAGCTGGAATTTCCCCTCGAACCCGTCATTTAACTACCTCATTCGGCTTCATTTCTGTGACATCGTTAGCAAGTCCCTAAATGACTTGTACTTCAACGTGTATATTAACGGGAAAACTGCCATTTCTGGGCTGGATTTGTCCACTGTGGCAGGAGGCGATCTTGCAGCTCCTTACTACAAAGACATTGTTGTGAACGCGACACTTATGACTCCTGAGCTCCAAGTCCAGATTAGTCCCATGGGAGAAGATACAGGTACCCAAAACGCAATTTTGAATGGAGTTGAGGTGTTAAAGATGAGCAACTCCGTGAACAGCCTTGACGGAGAGTTTGGAGTTGATGGTAGAACCACTGGCATGGGGAAACATGGTATGGTTGCGACCGCGGGGTTTGTGATGATGTTTGGAGCTTTCATTGGCCTTGGAGCTATGGTTTACAAGTGGAAGAAGAGGCCACAAGATTGGCAGAAGAGAAACAGTTTCTCCTCCTGGTTGCTACCGATACACGCTGGTGACAGCACTTTCATGACAAGCAAAGGTGGTTCTCAAAAATCCAACTTATACAACTCAACCATGGGGCTAGGCCGCTATTTCTCCCTTTCGGAGCTTCAGGAAGCTACACAGAATTTTGAAGCATCTCAGATTATCGGTGTTGGAGGATTCGGTAATGTCTACATTGCAACCCTCGACGATGGAACCAAAGTTGCTGTCAAGCGAGGTAACCCACAGTCTGAACAAGGAATCACTGAGTTTGAGACAGAGATCCAGATGCTTTCTAAGCTCAGACACAGACACTTGGTCTCCTTGATTGGTTACTGTGATGAAAACTCAGAGATGATCCTAGTCTATGAGTTCATGTCCAATGGTCCATTCAGAGATCACTTATACGGAAAGAACCTTGCTCCCTTAACCTGGAAACAGCGACTCGAGATCTGTATCGGGTCTGCACGTGGGCTTCACTATCTGCACACTGGAACAGCACAAGGGATTATCCACCGTGACGTCAAATCGACCAACATTCTTCTCGATGATGCTTTAGTTGCCAAAGTAGCTGACTTTGGTCTTTCTAAAGATGTAGCCTTTGGACAAAACCATGTCAGCACGGCCGTGAAAGGAAGTTTCGGGTACCTAGACCCTGAATACTTTAGGAGACAGCAACTTACCGATAAGTCTGATGTTTATTCCTTTGGGGTCGTTCTTCTAGAAGCTCTCTGCGCAAGACCAGCCATCAATCCTCAGCTGCCAAGAGAACAGGTTAACTTGGCTGAATGGGCTATGCAATGGAAACGAAAAGGAATGCTCGAGAAGATCATGGATCCTCATTTGGCTGGAACGATAAACCCTGAATCGATGAAGAAGTTCGCTGAAGCTGCAGAGAAGTGTTTGGAAGATTATGGTGTTGATAGGCCAACAATGGGAGATGTTTTGTGGAACTTGGAATATGCTCTTCAGCTTCAAGAAGCATTCACTCAGGGCAAAGCAGAGGAGACTGAGAACGGTGAGCAAGGCTCGGTGGTGGTTCCGCCAGCAGATACAATACCAATCACTCCTGCACCCACCACCAACGCAGCGGCTAGTGTTCCAGTTACTTCTAAGGTGGAAGAGAACAGTGGCACAGCCGAAGTTCAGGCCCTGGACGAACACTCTGGAACAACCATGTTTACTCAGTTTGCTAGCCTCAACGGAAGATAAATCTTAACTAACAGATAAAAGAAATCAAAACAAGACAAAAAGCATGCACCAAAACGAATTTCTTGTCATAAACGGTAACTGAAATAGAAAAATGACTTCTTAAGGCGATATGTTTGTTTCTTTTTTTTTTATGTGTCTGTGGTGGTCCAGGAACCTGTGTGATATTTATACTTTTGGTGTGTATTTTGTATGAATTGTAATTTGTGGGTGGATATGTATACTACTAAATGCTCTGATGCATTTATCTACTTATCCTCCTTTGTTGTAGTTGTTAATATTAGGTTGCTAAATGCTAATACAACTTCACATTGAAAGTTAAGTGTGTGTGATGAATCTTCCTAAAAAGTTAAGAGTACCATTGTCCACACAAAAAAAAAGCTACTCGTTATGTTTCCGTAGAAGTTATTGGTTTTCGGTCTGTACATATTTTATAGACCAATGATTAGGATAAAATTTGGGTAATTTCTTTGCAAATGATCTCCTCTCTAAGATAGTGTTTAAACTGGAATGAATGTGTTTCACCTCTAGTATAGACTCTAGTTGAAGCTGCTGTCACATTTGAAGCTTAACTAGCTAAACTGAGAAAAATGACCTCAATCTTTTGTGTGTATCATTTAACTATTTGGATTTAAGTTTTTTGATTCTTACTGAATAGAATGAGTGTTTGGTCTACAACCTGTGTTAGATAATGGTCACATAAAGCATTTCTTTCTTTAGATGGGTTGCTTTGGTGCTAATCATCTCTATTGTATGGATGATCGTGAAATGTTTGGGTATCAAACTCTTACCAAGTGTTTGTAGGAGAGGAAGTATAGGTGAGAAAAGATTAGGGTCAGTCACAGATTATGCAAAAAAATTTGAGAACCAGGAAAGCATAATAAAATAAAATTAAAAAAACCAGAAATAGAAACCATTCCCTCCAATTAAGCAAATGTCTTCTCTTTGTCTCTTTCCTTATCCTGCAGTGATCTATATAAATAGATAGCCAAAAGAGCCAAAGTTTTTCTGTTTTTGTTCTCTCTATCTATGAACTATGGAAAACATAAGTGAGCTGGTCGCTTTCGACATGGGAGGGCTAAAAAACAACCTTCCCAAAAAGTAAAACCTGAAAAATCATCTCATTGCTTGATTGAGTTGTTGTCTAAATAATAAATTTCTGGATTACTATTTGATTTTGGATTTGTGAATGGTATAAAAAAACAGGAGAGGATTGTCAAGGTTCTACTCGGGGAAAGCAAGATCATATGCTTGTATCTCAGATGTTAAATGCCTTGAAGATCTCAAGAAAACAACCCATCCTCTTGAGGATGATGATGATGACGAAGAAGATGTGTACAAGAAGAGGAAGAAGAAGAATAAGCAATCATCTTCATCTTCATTTTCTGCGGCTGTTAACAGCAATGTTAATTACCAAAACTACCCGTGTCGTAGAGTCTCTAGTAGCACCCATTGTTCCTCCCCTTGTGTTGGTGCTTAGATTTTTTTTTTAATCAGTTTCTTAATTTACCACACCTTCATCAATCTCCCTTTTGGCTTTTTTTCCCTACATAATACTCAAAACACAGGCTTTTGTTATATTAACAACTTAGTATTTTCCTAATGTATTTGTGGTTAACTTATTCTTTGCACTATTTTGTAGACTTGTTCCATTTTCGTGTAGTGTTTGTCTAGGCCAGAGTGTTGGTATCCCTTAGACTTGTAAAATAAATTGCAGATAAAAATCAATAACATATAAATAAATGTCTTTAGAACTTCAAAGTATCACCATCATCATGACTTCAAAATTTGGTAAATGAGCAAGGGAGAGGGGTTCATATTCATCCAACAACCACTATATATGTTTTTTGTATACAAATAATTTTCATGATATAACATAAAGAAATAGTCTCAGAGAAGAGAGAGACAAAATATTGCAACGAACGTTTCCATTATCGACGCAAAAAAAAAGGAAAAAGGAAATAACTTTGTCCATCCCAACACAACACGGCGCGTTGGGCCTATCCTATTGAGAACCCAATCAAATAGAAACACGTGTTGATTAATCATAGGCTCTTTCGGCTTGGATAAGTTATCATTAAATCCAATAAATATCTGCCGAATTCTCCGACCAGGATAATAATATATAAAAGCTAATTTCCAATAGAAAAAAAACACGTGGATTTGTATACATAAAGATATACATTCATGTTGCGTGTGTAATTAATGGTTACAATTCTAAGCTTTGCCTTTAGGGTTCCATCTTCCTTGTTCTATATTAATAATCCTTCCTCCTCTCTGATTTCTTTAAAAAAATCAAAATGGATATTCTTAAGTTTTCCATCTCCCTTCTCCTTGTTTCTTTCCTCCTCGCCGTCTCCGTCTCCTCATCGACGGACGGCGATGATGTGGTGATCCGGCAGGTGGTCGATGGAGGAGCGGAGGCCAATGTATTATCGTCGGAAGATCACTTTTCTCTGTTCAAGAGCAAGTTCGGGAAGGTCTACGCTTCCAGGGAGGAGCACGATTACAGGTTGTCCGTATTCAAAGCGAATGTGAGGCGAGCGAGGCGTCACCAGAAGATGGATCCCTCTGCACGTCACGGAGTTACACAGTTCTCGGATCTGACTCGGTCTGAGTTTAAGAAGAAGCATCTCGGTGTCAGAGGCGGGTTTAAGCTTCCCAAAGACGCCAACAAGGCTCCGATTCTCCCTACAGAGAATCTCCCTGAGGATTTCGATTGGAGAGATCACGGAGCTGTTACTCCCGTCAAAAACCAGGTATATTGTATGCCTTATCGAATTCGTTAGACTGTGTATTGATCGATCATTTGATTGGTAATATAAGGGATCATGCGGATCTTGCTGGAGTTTCAGTGCCACCGGAGCTCTTGAAGGTGCTAACTTCCTCGCCACCGGCAAACTCGTCAGCCTTAGCGAACAACAGCTCGTCGACTGTGATCACGAGGTTGAATCAAATATTATAAAACCATTAAGTTAATTAAATCAAGTTATTTACTTTGTTCTTGTTGCTTGCCTCGAATGCTCTTTGTATTCTGATTATCATCTCTGTGCTGTGTATGCTATGCAGTGTGACCCAGAGGAGGCGGGTTCATGCGACTCTGGTTGCAACGGTGGCCTCATGAACAGCGCTTTTGAATACACCCTCAAAACCGGAGGCCTCATGACTGAAGATGACTATCCTTACACCGGCAAGGACGGCCCCGTCTGCAAGTTAGACAAGTCCAAGATCGTTGCCTCTGTCTCCAACTTCAGTGTCATCTCCATTGATGAACAACAGATTGCTGCCAACCTTGTTAAAAACGGACCTCTTGCTGTAGCCATCAACGCTGCCTATATGCAGACTTACATTGGTGGAGTCTCCTGCCCTTACATATGCACCAGGAGCCTCAACCACGGTGTCTTATTGGTCGGTTATGGCTCCGCTGGTTACGCTCCTGCTAGGTTCAAGGAGAAGCCTTTCTGGATCATCAAGAACTCTTGGGGTGAGACTTGGGGTGAGAATGGTTTCTATAAGATTTGCAAAGGCCGTAACATATGTGGCGTTGACAGTCTTGTCTCTACCGTTTCAGCCGCCGTCTCCACCACTTCACATTAACTTAGCAGCAGGGCCTCGTTAAATAAAATTAATTCACTCTGGTGATTTGTGTGAGCGAGCACTCTTTGCATTGACTCTCTATTCCCTCTCTGCTTTTTTTAAAGAAAGATGAAGTTTGTAAATAAAAGTTGTATCCATCCTTCGTTGAGCAAATCAATACCATGAGTCCATGACAACCGCGGTTGATTTATGTTATGGCTCACTTATGGGCCCCTAGCTATCAGTTCAAAGTTCCAAGTTTCACAACACTTAATAATGGTCATAGATCTACAGTAACACATAAACATAGTCAGAATCACCAAATTTTAAAGATAGATATGAAGAAAGGCAAGCATCACCAAAACGTACCTTAATGTGTGAGCTTTATCTCTAAACTTTCCAACTCTGGGTTAAATGCATATGAATCAAACAACACAAAAGTGAGGACTAAATTATCTTATTATATAAAACAAAGGTCCCAAATCCTCACATTATTTGTCGCATTATTATTATTTTATTTAATTCCAAACAAACACAACAACAAATGGGTTGTGTGATCCCATCATCATCCCCTCTTCTTTTTTTTTCTGTCTAAAAAAAGTGTGATCACACAGGCAAATAAATAAAATTATAGAGAGAAGGGGAAAATAATAAATAGAACATTGTTTGGCAGTGCCGCTTTTATATATGCAAATGGCAGAGAAGATGAGATGGGAATGAATCATTAATTAATCGATTCATATCAGTAATCAATCACTCGTCCTCGTTTGCGGTGAGAGTGAAAGAGAAAGGAGCGAACTTGTAACCATCTCCTTCGTAGAATTTGTTCTGAAACTCCACCCAGTGTAGACGCAGTGCGTGAAGGAACGCGCTCAGTGTCTCCATCACCAGCAACACTCCCACCGTCGCGAATATGAACACTATTCCCCCAACGATCAATATCAACCAATTGTTGTACCTGTTTTTATTTATTTTTAAATGCCAAAACAAAGATCGGTTAGCTGCTAATGATTAATTAATTAATTAATCAAAAGATCAAAGAAGCGAGAGAGGATGCTCATACCCCCAGGCGAGGAGGAGGACCTTCTCAAAGAAGACTGACGATAACTCTGAGTGTGCAAGACTGAACACACAAAAAGGATAATGGATATATCGTCAAGACGTGAGATATATAGCTTTCTACTACTCGATGATGAGAGAAGAGAGAGATACATATACCTGAGAGCCCATAGACGCAGATACGAGGCGGTGTTGGAAACAGCTCCGAGCACAAACTCTATGGTGTGAATCAGCTGATGCACAAATATCTCGCTGAACTCAAACTCCTCGTCCCCATGGGATCCTCCGTTTGCCTCCACATGAAGACTCTCATCCGTCTCCTCAAGAGGTGCGTATGACTGACCTTGATGTCTCTGGTGAAGGAAACCGTTTGAGAAAACCAGTAAAGGATAAGCCCAAAAAATTAAGAGACCTTTGTCTTAGATACTAAAACGAAAAAGGAAAGAATCTCACAGCTTCATGTTGTTTCTTCAAGATGAACGGCTTTGGAAGCAACATACATGGAACAGAAACAAGAGCCAGAAAGAGAAGCACCAGCTGAAAATATGGGAGGAAAAACGATGATGGGTGAAACCATACATACGTATGACATGCTTTTCTTAGAAGATCTCGTAACAGCAATTGTTAGGCTAACCTGCACTGTTTTCTGGTGTGGGAAAAGTTGGTTTTCTCCTAACTCATCGGTTGGGCTCAGAAACATGTAGATCATTACATGATACAAATCTGCTTGAGACCCAGTGCACCATTTTATGATGATGAGGACCGAGAGATACCCAAACAAGCTGTTCAAGAATATCATCTGCGGAATGAACTGGAACCTGCAAGCAATTCCCCAAAATTAGACGACGTTATTTGAAAGGAAATGCACGCTACGTTAAGATTTATCAACTTAACCTACCATATATTCACACTCGATTTGAAGAATCTTGCATTGAAGTAGCTCATTATGATCCCAAGGTTCATTTGAGAAACTCCGAGAAGGATTGACATTTTCATCTTCAGCGAGTTCAGGAACGGCAGCTCGCTGCGGGTACCATGCCATACAGGATCTAGACCAAATGGATAAGTGTCCCGCACCTTTATCAAACCAATTGTAGTAGCCTCGCTGAAAATAGAGCATAAGAGTGGGGAAAATTCAGGACTGAGAAGTAATTGCCTGCTACTAATATTCTTTTGTATTTTTATAAATCTCAATTTTAAGAACTAATTTCATACCTGCATGCAGCATCACGGCAATCATAGGCTGAGGGAGCAAACAATGGGTATGGAATAGAGAAGAACTCGTTGTAGATTAAACCAGTGTATATTGAGAAGAGTGACATCATGAATATGACATAACGACCACCAAAAGCCATCTCCATAATGTCCCCAAGTTTCTGTTGCCAAGAACCAACGGTTGAAGAATTAGCATCTAATACTTGCAAGAGCAAAGCATTTGACAATTAATCGAAAACGTATATTAAAGACTAGGCTATAATATACTCTCTAGAATTTTCAAGTGAGTTTCCTTTGCTATCATATTTGCATGCGACTCCAAGAGAACAGAACAGCTAAACTTAACAGTAGGTTATACAGTTGAGATAGAATTCAACATCTTGCTCATGGTCAGATATAAGGTAACATTTATTGGGGTAATTACCTGGCTGGAAAATTTCTTTTCGTTCCATATCAAGTACATAGTTGCAAGCAGCAAACATATTCCATGCCCCCAATCACCAAACATAACAGCGAAAAGGAAGGGGAAGGTGACGATTGTGAATACACCAGGATTAGCTTCCTGATACTTGGCCACACTGCAGAGTGGTAATCATGGAAGACTGATCAGAGGAAGCTAGGACAAGACTAAATGCAAACACATTTTCTTATAATACCAAGGTTATCTCTTATTTCCTAAACTGAGTCAAAAGCTCCAGAAATAATGTGAAAGACAATTACCCATAAGCATCAACAATTTCCTGGATTGCAGAAGTAAATTTGTTTGTGCGGAAATAAGTTGGTGGCAACTCTTTGGTCCTCAGAACCTGGAATATTGATCCAACTTGAGAATTGGAGTCAACTGCAGCACGCTTCAGTGCATTTTGAATCTGCAGAAACAAACCTTATTCTACTTAAGTATTCTGAAACGATCACCCGATATAATATTCAAATGCAATTGACAGTGAACAAAACGAACAACTCACATCGTTTGATGCAAAGACAGGACTCCAGCCCTCGGCCACAAGGCACTTCTTAGTTACATCAAGACTAAGCATGTTCAAAGTATGATAGATAGCTTTCTCTTTGCGCACCTGCAATTGGTAAACATAAACTTGGCTTCCACTTGAATGGTTTAGAATAGATGGGTCAACACGGGCCGCTCAACATTGATCTACACAGAATAATACCTTGAGATTCCACAGCTCAAATTTATCTCCAATGGTGTGCAACAATATGTTACGGTGACCTAAACCAGCATCTATGGTGGTTTTAAGCTCTGTTAATCGACCTGACACCTGAAATGGTGTGTGAAAGAATTAAACATGGTTAGAGAGTTTCCGAGTTAACCGGATCATCATTATACGGATGCTAATCAACTTCAAAACTAACAGTCACATAATTTCAGTATACCAAAACATTATGTTCTCATGTATTGGCTTTTACTGGACACTTGTGTACCAGCGAATGCCCAATGTTTTGTTATCATCTATAACTCATATCCACAGAAAGAACCATACAGGGAAGTAAAATGGTATATTACAATAACAACAAAAAAAATATGGAACGTTGACCACACTTATCAGCAGGAACATTCACAAGAAAGATAATAGATACCTCAGTTATCATTTGAGCTTGTTTTCCAAGGTCTTCACTGAAAGGATAACGATTGGCCCCAAAAGCTTCGCATATTTTAAGAATTTTGCTTTTTGCTCTTTCCCCGGAATAGAAGACAACAAAAACATTTTTCTCAGCCTGCGTTTATTTTAGAGTTAGAAAGTCAATTTCGAAATGAGACAAAAAAAAAGTAAATTTGTTTTCTAACGAGATCAGCATTCCACATGCTGAACGAAGTCTTGGCTCTCTAGATCGAAAACACAGATCAACTAGCAGTTGTATATTCAGAAATTGGAAAAGGAAGGAGACCATATGAACTCATGTAACCGTAGTGTAAGAGATCTAACCTTCTCTCCAGAGTTGGGATCAATGACTGGCTCTTCAATTACAGTCTGACGAATAAAGACGTTGCCCCTAGTAGCACGGAATAGAATCCTTTCAAAGACCATCGACTTTTCACGAGGTACTAAGCCGGTGAGAAATCCAAGCTTTACCTGCTTTGAATCAATAGATTTTTCCTGTTTAAAGGAATTACTGTTAGTGTTAGTAATTAAACAATAACTATTTTTTTAAAAAAAAAAAAAAAAAAAAAAAACGTAAA